ATGTACCGTAAATTTTCACATTGCCTGAAATACACCACGAACCCGTAAAGTGCATAAAACCAAATACTTTTTATATTTTCAAAAAAATGAAAAGCGACTTCAATTCCATAACATTGGGACTGTGGTAATATTTTTGTTAGAACCTCCCATCATTTTCCTGTTTGACCGCCTCTGATGCACTTTTCTTCTGGTCGCTAGGCGGTCCCTCCCCGCTCCACATCCGAGGTCAGCGATCGCCTCGGGGATATCAAGCGTTGGCCTAGTAAGTCTGCTCCTGCAGGGGAAACATTTCGTTACTCGACCAGCAAAAAGAACAGATATAAATCCTGCACATCGGATCCCTCCTACGGCGCCGGCTGGTAGCCAACGATGTCAGGGTACTCAGGGCGCCTTTCGGATTGGACAAAAACGACATGTCTGCCCGGCGACACGCTATGGAGACTGCCTTATGCTCTGCACCTACAACCTACAACGCTAGAACATTCCATGTTCGACCGTCCCTGAATCTTGGCATTTTATGTACAGTAATTAGTTCTCAGTAAGTAGTGAACGTTCCCAAGATTTTTATTGATTTATTAACACAACGACATCAGCACATCATTAAACAGGTCAACGTTTCGGCAGGGTCGCCTTTTTCAAGACCTCGGAAGTGATTCAATAAATTCGACCCTCCAAGGATAGACATACCTTCAGCGATACACTTCAAGAGGATGTCCACCACTCTGACACTTAGTCAGACAACTATTACCTCTTGTGATGGAATGAGGTTCCCTTTCAAGGTGGGACTCAAATCCACACAATGATGAAAGTGGGACGAGCACACCACTGATAGCCATTTTCTCTTCCTTTCTGTTAAGTTTTGGACATTTGGACGTGATGTTAATTTGAAACTTTATGTTCTGATGGCAAAGCACATAATGTGCGCTGAGATTCGCGATTTTCTCATTCCGTCCAAGTGTTCGTCAATTCGTACGTACAGCGGTCTTCCTGTTTCTCCACTATATTCTTCCCCACACAGTTTACAAGATATCAAGTACACAGCGCCACGACACATGCAATCTCCCGGTTTGTTAGAGTTGCATATATTACAGTCTGTTTTTGAACAGGCTGGATCGTAACTTCTGTTACGTACCAGGCGCTGCTTGAGGTTTGGGGGTGGGACTTCGACAACTCTTAGCATATTTTGCAGGCCGGCTTTACGAACGCAGATTTTAATCGCAGCGCTTAACTTATCAGATATGAATGGCATAAGGAATGACACCTTTGCGCAACTGACATCATTGAAGATTCTAGCATTATCCTTGCAACGAACGCTTATGTTTTCGTTTTTCAACAGTAGGCAACCGTTTGCTTGCGCAATTAGGGGTAGCCTGCTTTGTCGATGCGGATTTTAGAGTGCTATCTGAAGACAATCTAGTAGACGTTCGCAGTATATTTCTGATAATGCTAAGTTTCATTTGAATTGGGTGTGCCGAGGAGTAATGTACAAGTATATTTTTATTGGTTGGTTTTCTATACCAGCGTGTTCTGCACTCTCCTCTGCATAAACAGTTTTGAACATTGGGAATGGTAACCACCCCTGCTTAGGTGTTTCGCTTGTGAATTTGATGTCAGTTGATTGAGCAATAAGTATGTCAAAGCATAGATCCATTTCCGCTTGTGTTGGACACACGATGATATATATGATATATATGGATACATGGATGTATCTGTAGTAAAGAACAGGTCGGCGGTTGAGAATTGGTTCTTCTATCTTTGACATAAATGCTATTGCTAAAATAGGTGCCAAACGCTGGCCCATTGCGAGTCCCCTAGTCTTCTTATATATAAAGCTGAATGTCTGTTTGTCTGTCTGTATGCCTGTCTGTCTGTCTGTCTGTCTGTCTGTATGTCTGTACGTATGTTCCGAATTGGAAATTCCATTTCTGAACCTATCGGGACCAAACTAGGCACACATACACTTCGGGCCCCGGCGGGTGTCACAGTCCACTTTTCGTTATCGATCTAAAGATCGTTATCGATATCAAGTACACAGCGTCACGACACCCCACGGGGGTGACCAGCATGCTCGATTACCCCCCTGTGCCAACTCCCAGCCCCGTAGCTCAAATTCTGGAAAAAATCGATAAAATCGATATCGATCGATGACGAAAAGTAGCCTATGACACCCGCCGGGGCCCGAAGTATATGTGTGCCAAGTTTGGTCCCGATCGGTTCAGAAATGGAATTTTCTATTCGAAACATACGTACAG